CATGCTGCTGGATGACCTCTCTCAGCGGGTCTCATGTAGTTATTATTGAGCCCAGAGGCACCCCACATAGCAGGGGCCTAGGGCTTTATCTGTCACCCTCCTACAACAACACCAACTGGAACTGGCCACAGAGAAATGAGGGAAACCAACACAAAACAGTGTCCCCCACTCCCAACCCCTGGCACTTGTCCAGAAAGCTATCATGATTGATGGTGTCTGAAGCTGCTGAGAGATCCAGGAAGGCCAGAACAGATGCACCACCTCCATCTCAAGCCCTTCAAAAGTCATTCACCAGCACAATCAATGCTAGCTCACTGCTATTTCCTGGCTTGAAAAAATTCCAGATAATCCGCTTTATCTAGGGCCCTCTGAAGCCAAGTGTGTAACCACCTCTCAGACTGGTCAAAAGTTATCTAACATGATTTGGTCCAAGGATGGATTCTTGAGAAGGGAATGTACCACCACCTCCTTCAAAGCAAGAGGCACCACCCCCTCCTGTAATGAGGTGTTAATCACCTTTTGGACTCAGCCACATGCCACCTCCCAGGAGGCCTCAACCAACCAGGAGGGGTATGGGTCCAAAACACAGGTGGTACAACTCACAACCTTGAGTACCTTGTCTACTTTCTCAGGAATAACCAGCTCAAACTCTTCCCAGATAACCAAGCTCAGACATCCCTTGGTCACTTCCAAAGGACCTGCCCAGCTAGCATCCAGCTCTGAGCAAAGGCAAGTAACTTTATCTAACAGATACCAAGAATATTCCTCACAGCAGCTGCGCAAAGTCTCCCTTGGTACTTCCTTCCTGAGAAGAAACCTTGTTACCCTCAACAGGGCCACTGACCAACTATCTGCAGACCCAATAACAGTGCACTCATATGAAATAGTGCAAGAGATGCTTGTCGCCACAGAGTAAGCCCTAACAAAGGTTCTCAACTGCACTCAGTCGATCTCACTTTTTGTCATTTGCCAGTGGTGTACTAAACATCTCTTGCATTATTTCATCTCCTGTGGCCCCTTGGTAAGTTAAGAAATCCTATGAGATCAGCGAACATGGAGAATCCGCACAGCAGTGATCCAGTCCCAGACCTTTTTCCGCATGCTGATTCCAAGTTGCGACCAATTCTTTGGCATTAAATCTGAGCAAAAGGTTACATTTGCAAGTGTGGGTAGGTGGAGGGTGGTGTTGGTAATAAGGGAAGAAGGATTCTTCATTATATATGGAAAATAAAGGTATTTCCTCTGGTATAAATTTAAAATAGCCTACAATTGTGATTTCAGAAGTAAGAGTGTAAGAGTCTGTCAGGAGAAACTGAAGGGTTGGGGAGAGGGGGTCTTGATCAAACTGGGGACTTCAGTACAGTGCTGATTAGCAGACTGGCTATGTCTAGACTGCTGGCATGACTGTTAAGTGGATCTATAATTGCCCCCGAAACCATAGTCTAGGAGTGCTAATCAATGGAAGTAGAAGTGATACAACACAGGGTTTGTCCCGGACTCATTATGTTTCAAAATTTTCTTTAAAGATTTGAAGTAAGAAATGGAGGGAATGCCTATCAAATGTACAGATAACATAAAACTAGATTGGGATACCAATAGCAACATTTACTGGGGAGAGGGGCCTCAGAGTGATGCCAGTACCATTACAGTAGCATAATGCAAGCCCTGCTCTTTTTCTACAGGTGTCCAGAGCTTGCTGCATGACACTGCAATGCTGCATGGATCATTTGGACAAAAGAAGCAAGACCTAATCCTCTAGAACAGTGTTTCTCAGCCTCCACAACTTTAAAATGTATGGACTTAAACTCCCAGAGTTCCCCAGTCCACACATCTTAAAGTTGCTGAGGTTGAGAAACACTCCTGTAGAAGGCAGAAATGAAATTGGTAGTGATTTAGTATGCTACAGTTGAAAATAGCAAAATGCAATTTGAAGAAAGTTCTTTATTTAGGAAGCAGGAATCCAATTCAGAGGTATAAGATAGGGATTAACTGTGAAAAGGTTTGTATTGTAATTGATCATAGGTTGAATATGGATCAACATTATTATGTGGCAGATAAAAGGTTTCATCTAATTTCATCTAAATTCATTGGCATCCATAGAAATATAATTTTAAAATCTTGAGAGGCAATGGTTCCATTACACTCTGCATGGGTCAGATGTCTTTGGAGTATTATATATAGTTCTACGTATGACATTTTAAGAAAGATTTAGAGAAACCAGATCAGGGTCAAAGAAGAGTAACAAGGGTGACCAGGTGATTAAAAGCTATTTTCTCAAGTTGAGATTGAGTGAACCAGATATGTTTAGGGTTTTTTTGGGGGGGGGGAAGGCAAGGGGAAGGTAAGGGTATTGTACAGAAGAATTTCAAGACCTGTGTTTTGCCCCATTAAAATGTGAGCAGGGGGGTTGGGGAGTCAAAAGCAATAAGCACACACATGAGGTACAAAGTGAAAGGATTTATTAAGCAAAACAGTGCAAAATAATAACCTTAAATGCAAAGTATAAGGTAGTCTGGAAACATCCGTAGACAAGTGAGGAAAACAAGACATAACAGTGTTCAGGAGAGGAATGTATATACTGTACAGGGCAAAATCTCACCTGTGACAGCTGGAAGCCCTGTGCCCTTATCCAAGGCAGCTAAATTATTCCATCTAGCAAATAGCACCTTTCCTGGGTAGGCCTGTACTGAGACTAACCTCAGGTAGATTTCTGGAACTGTATATAATCTTCTATTGCAATTACTCCTTCTAATGATGCACATTTAGACTTCTTGCCTAATAGTTATCAAAACTTTATGTGAGATAGTATCAGCATAAGCTTCACCTCCTTCCTGTTAGATGGCTGGCCTAAATGAAAGGAGCTAAAGGAGCAGGATAAAATGACCAACAGGGCAGGAGGGGGTGGGGATAGTGGCCTGTGAACTTTTAGAAAGCTAAAGCCTTACTTAGTCATGCCATGCACTAGCATGCAGAAGAGAAGCCATTTTATATAGAAAGGCACCGAAAAAAATGGAGCATGTCACCTAAACCTCCTCACCATTACAAATGTCTTCTGCAATAGCCCTACAACCTGTTTGCACTACTTCTAGAGTTTAGGATATGGAATTAAGCTACAGGAATGCAGATCTGGGTTGAATAATAGGAAGCCTTTCTAACTATAACAGCAATTATACAGTACAATGAATGATCAAAGAGGTGGATGTTCTCAGGTGGAGGCTAAACAGCCATCCATCAAGGATGCTTTAAATTGGATTCCTACAATGAGCAGAGAGTTAAATTCAGTAGCTTAAATAGACTTTTCCAATGTTACCATTTGAAAATTCTAGAACAGAGAGAGAGAGAGAAATTGTCTTGGCAAGCAATTTATCTTGCACAGCTTTTGGAACTAAATCTCATTTGGACATTTTATATAAGTTTATATTTTATATCAGTATTTTACATAGTGCATACAGTGCAGTTAAAAATAATCTGTCTTTATAACAATGTAACCCATGATTCGTGTATGTATGTATGTATGTATGTGTGTGTGTGTGTGTGTATACACACATACATACATACACAGAAGCCAAGTCCACCTGAGCAAGTGGGTAATGTTTCCAAATACAATGACTTAAAATTCTTGTGCAACTTGGTTCATTTAAGTGGGAAGTTTCCATATGTACGGAACTTTTGTACTGAAAACAGCATATAACAAGTGTGCAGTTAAGCCAAACCATATTCAAAATAACTGTACAGCAAATATATATATATAACTTAGTGGAAAGGCATTCTGTATAAAATGTGATAAAACCTACACATCATAGTAATCCTATTCAGTTAATAGATATCTGAGTATATTCAGATACAAGCAAGGGGGACATTGAACCTTGCAAACTATGGTTCCTCCCAGTTTTCCCATCCCTGCTTCTGTTGTGTCTGGCCTATCCTCATAGAGTATGTAATTCTAAAGGGAGGAATTACTTATATTTGAGTAAATGTGACTTTCCTGGACTTTATCAATTTGATAATGCAAAAGTTTCTATTGGATTTCATGAAAAACAACAGAAATCAGGAACTGAGAAGACATTATGGATGAAGCCAACACACACAGTCCTTGGCCCCTTATATGTGTTGATATACAGCACCTCTGGACTGCAGCATCTGGATTTGCCATGTACTTAAGCAATTCCAGCAGCGTAGAGTCAAGGTATATGTAGAGTGCCAGACAGAAGGATCATATATTATTTCTGGAAACTTGCACAGCAATAGAATTTTTATTCATTTACTTCAGACTCAGTTCTATATTTCAATCTCTTTTTGTTCAGCCAATATATGTGTTAAGGAAGCGGACAAATTAAAATCATTTTTGTTGGAAGGTTTTCTTTCTCCATAATAATTTTGTTAGAGTCTCTTTAACCTCTTTATTTCTAAGGGAATATATAATTGGATTAAGCACTGGGGTCACCACAGAGTAAATTATAGCAATGTTCTTGTATTCTTCTTCATCATTGGGAGTGGACGGCTTAGCATATGTGTAGATAATGGTAGAAAAATAAAAGCTTACTACTAGGAGATGGGAGGAACAAGTAGAGAATGCTTTCTTCTTCCCTTTGACTGATTGGATCTTGATGATAGTTCTCAAAATAAGTAGATAAGATATTAAGGTCAGAGTACAGCTACTCATTGTAAAGGTCACGTCAGCTGCAAAAGCCATTATTTCATTAAGGCTGATGTCAGAACAAGAGAGCTTCCATAGTGGAGGCAGGTCACAGAAAAAATGGTTGATATCTTCAGACTCACAGAAGGACAACCTCAGCAAAAGGCCAGCATGAACTGCAGAGTTGGCCATTCCTATAACCCATGCTCCAGTGGCTATTCCAACACACACCTCTTTCTTCATAATGACCGTGTAATGCAATGGCTGGCAAATAGCAGCATACCGATCAAAAGCCATAAATGAAAGCAAGAGAATCTCTGTCCCCAGAGCCCAGACGAAAAGAAACACTTGAACAATGCAGCCTAAGAATGAGATGGTCCTTTTCTGGTCCAGAATGTTCTGAAGCATTTTGGGAACGGTCACTGAGATAGAGCACACATTGACCACAGAGAGGTTGACCAAAAGGAAGTACATAGGTGTGTGGAGTTTGCTACAAATGCCAATGGCAAGAATCAGGAGAAAGTTGCCAGCCAAAGCTGATGCATAGATGACAGCAAATATCCAAAAGATGAACATCTGATGTTCAGGTGTACTGGACAAACCCAATAACCTGAATTTAGTTTTAGAAATAGCACTTTGGTTATTAATTTCCATGGCCCCAGCACTGTTTACCTAAATAGGGGGGAAAAAAGTTAATTTGGGGTAGCTATCACTCAAACATATTCTAGTCATGGAATCTGTTGGATTTATGGTCCATCATTCAGTGAAATAATAGTGTGTGTGTGTGTGTGTGTGTGTGTGTGTGTATTAATGGGCAGCAAATGAATGAATGATATATGACAGAAGTATGAAAACTTTGCATTTCTGGGCATGCTGACAAGGCTGCTGGGAGTTGTAATTGAACAATATTTGAAGGACCACTCTTTATCCCAGTTTATATAAAAATACATGACTGATTATATTACTTGAAAATTGGGAGATAAATTTTAAATAATTTATTAGCATTTCTTTATTTAACTTTGGAAACTGATAGGCAAATAATAGGTCCTGTTTTTCTATACCACTCACTCCACAAAAACCACAAAACCACCTCTAAGGCATTTTGTTGTAATTCTTATTGTCCACTTTGCTATTTTTATTGTCTCTTTCAACATTTACTTTTAAAGCAGGGAAATTCTTAATAGTAGATATCCTGATTAACTTATTAACAAAACAGTCATATTATCAAGAAATGGAGAAGCAAGAATGAAGACATGGATTGGGAAATGAAGCCTGTTATTACTTCTACCCCCAGCTCTTTAAAAGGAAAGGAAGGAGATTTTCTAATAATTTAATTGGATTCCCCCCCCCCCGCAACCCACTGGGTAAATCAGTAAATAGTTACAATTGTACCAGGCAACCACAATAACCCAGGAACATCCCACTGTGATTCATGAGTTTTATTTGCCTTTAAAAATCCTGTTTCCATTGTAACTTAAAATAGGGGTTATATTCAGTGAGATTCACTTCTGAAGCTATAAAGTATGTACAAATTTAGCAGGTGGCCCACCTGTCTGTCCTTGTCTGAGTTCAGAAGCTAAGCAGGACTGGATCCAGTTAGAACCTAAATGGAAGACCATTTATGAATACTAGGGAGTAGGTGAGTTGAAATAGCATTCCAGAGACAGCCGTTGTGAACCACTTCCACACTGCTGTTAAGGAAATTGCTCATGAAGAAATTAAGAGTTAAAGTAGTTGAATTAGAATGTTGATATGTTCGTTCAAAATATAAGAAAACAAATAAAGTGCCACAAAGAATCTCTATCTATCTCAAAACATTGAGGTTATCGTTGTTGTTATTTTTATTCCATGGGAGGTGAAGCGATGGACTGGAAGCTTACCTACTAATACAGGTATGAAGGCAGGAATTTCAATGCTTTTTTTGTTATTCCCCATAGCTAATTTGGAATGTAATCTTACAAGGATAGGCTACTATATATTTTAAATTGACAGGGAAATTATTTTCCAATGAACATGTCATAATAATGCACTGTGGGATTTCCAAATTCTAAATGAGAATGATGTTAAATCTGAAACTCTTTATTTACACTTTTGGAAATAGCCCCACGAATCTCAGGAGTAGTTATTTTCAACTAGATCATTGTAGTCTGCTGGTTCCTTACTTTGTTGTACACCACCCAGAGTGACATTGTTTGAGCTGGGTGGCCATATTAATGCTTGCAATAAACAAAGAAATAACTGTATAAAGGAATTTTCTCTCAACTGGAATATGAAAGTATTCCATCAATTACTGAATTCATTTCAAGGTTTCTCATGTAAGATTCACTGTAAGCTACATCCTAAAATAACTATATAAATAGGGGGAAAGGGAAAAAACAAAAACAAATTCTCAACTTTTTGATTCTCTGCTTTTTTTTTTTTTTTGATGCCTAAAAATATGATTCAGAAAGTAAGATGAAGAATTAATTGTATTTGCTTAAAATAAAATGATTTCACACTTACCCTGCATAAAAATGACAAGGCTAAAGTACTTTGTGATCATAGTATAGCAAGAGCAGTCTAGAAACATCTTAAGAAATATGTAGAGAATCTCATAAAATGTTCCTTTAAAGACTATCTTTAACTCACTGGGGAAAGATGGTGATGGTTTGGGAAACAAGATAAGCCTCTTACAGTGCCTTTCCCTAAGGTAATTGCCTTGCTCCTTTGAAACCTACACACAGCACAACTCTAGTAGGATACACTGTTTATAATGAAGCTATAGAGGCAGGATGAGTGGGCAGTCCCTGGTCACTTGTGGCCTATCAGCACTGAGAGTCGACACAGATGAACATTGGTGGTAAAATAGTTAAACTGTGGAAGCTGTTGCTGTTGTTTCCCTCTCATCTTGAAGACCCCTACCCCTCTCCAGGTCCAAAGCCGACATTTGGAGGCTTATCTTGGCTCTATTTGGCATTTTTGATGGTTTAAGGATGGGAATGGCAGAAAGAGGCCTTTAAAAAAAAAAAAAAGCCTTAAAAAGATTTGTCCCAGGCCCTTCTGATCATGTTACTATGGTACCAAGGACCTCCTGCAGACCTGCAGAAGATTGAGGAGAACACTTCCGTCCCCCTTCAAACATTGCCCATCACTGCTGCTGAGCTCTATCCTCTGCCCAACCAAAGCGAGTGTCTATTAAGACTGTCCATGGCAAGACAAAGATTCAGAAGACATTTTTGGGGGACAAGCAAAGAGCTACCTCTCACCTAATTCATTAAGATTTGTCTTCATTAGCCTGAAAAATGTTACCACTACTGCATTAATTTTAATAAGTTAACTCATTAAATAGCTACAACATAACAATAGTTAACAACTCTGTTCTTCTGAGACCGGAGAACTTCAGGAGAGGTTCGACTGTCCTTAGCCTGATACAAACCAATGCAGAAGATTACTTCTGAAATGGCAAAAGCAAGAACACTGGGGGAAGACAACCATGTATTTCTTGAATTCTTGAATGTAGTTGAACATGTATTTGGACTTCAAGAAAACAATCTGCATACACTCAGATGAATGATTGTATGATTCCATGTCAGGAGAAACTAATAAGAAAAGCAGAAAAATTTGTTTCTAGGAGAAAGATATTAAAAGCACAATTGAAAACAATTCTAATGGAGAGAGGGGGAATAAAGCCAATGTATCTGTGCAAAATGCTTAGTGAAGGTGTAAAAATAGAAAAATAAGAGGCAGTTCACCAAGGAAAAGTACATACAGATAACCTTAAATTGTTGCAATGATGTCAAGAAAATTAACACTCTAAATAAGCTGATGTTGATAGAGGTTGCTAAGCACAAGAAAAATGAATCCTTCAACTAAGTTCTAAACAAAAGGAAAGGAAAGGAAAACAATATAAATGAAAATGTAAAATTCTAGTTGGTAACTAAAGGCAGAATGAGTCAACTCAAGCCTTCTGTGAAATTAATTAACAATTATCCAAAGCCATTGGATAATTGATAATTAATTAAACCAGATGGTTAACATCTGCCATCTAGTGATGATCGCAGCATCAGGAATATTATGACTTGGAATGTAAAAGGAATAAATAGTAAAGATAATAAAACGCTAAATGAAATGAAAAAAAAATCAAATAGATAATATGAGGAAATATGCAATAGATCTGAATGTGTGTGGTTTGATTTTGTGGAGCATATCTGATGAAGACATGCCAGGAAGGTAAGTCATGGGTTCAATTATAAATGAGAGGGCAAGAATATTTGTTATCAGAAAGTATGAACTGGTGTCATTTAGGTTATTACAGGTATCTATGAAAGTAAGAATCTATAGTTCAGGAAGAGCTGCATGTCTATCAACCCTTTGAATTAGGCAAGGCCAAGAAAGAGAAGCAGCAAGAATTTCAAGAATGTTCTTTATTGTGATAGAGTATAATATCAGAAACCTGAAAGCCTGTCAGAGTTTCTCTCTACTTCAGCTTAAAGCAAAGAAAATCAAGGTGGGGTTATTTTGTTTTACTTCCTCATGCTTTCTTCTCTCCCAGAATGAAATAATCTTTTCTGAAACTTTCCCTTAATGATTTGTTGATCCAAATACCATCTGTTCCATCAGAATCACTTCTCCTTTCTGTGCTCGAAAACAGACCCAGCAACAATTCAAGATCAAGGGACACATTTGACAGGGAAGATTTAGATGGAGCTGGAAAGTGTCCCCACCCCTCCTATCACATGGCAACCATAACTGGAGAATTCAAATGACAAGAAGCAGGGGTCCTCTTCTTCCTTTAGAACAATATCTGGTGAGTCTGAAGGCAATTCAGAGGGACAAGTCTTGTGTGAGAATTCCAGATGGAATGAGTGGACAAGTTGTGGTGCATGGATATTTTCTGCCCCCTCTCATAATCTCTCTGACTCACAAATGACCTTCCAATTAATGAGATATTCCAGCTATCCCTTCTTGCATCTAGAATTCAAAATATATTCATAGAATCATAGGGTTGGAAAGGACCTTGGAGGTCTTCTAGTCTACATAGTTTTCCTCTTTCCCATCTACCAGAACTTGCTGAAAGCTGAAAGAAGGGGTGCTCAATCTTAGGAAAAAACCAAACAAATGAACAGTAGACTTTTACTAACCAGAGTGCACCAGCTACATAACACTTGGCCATCTTTGATGTACACTGAGAATTCCATGGTGTTTGCTGAAGCCACCTAGATTTGGTTTTCTCATGTGCTGTGAGAGACAGCTGATAGGGGCTCCAAAGCAGAGAAAGCTGAAGTAACATGGTCACTGTTCTTGGTTTCATGGTAGTTATATAGCAATGCATGTTCCTTGATTGATGCACAGTTGTATTATTGTACTGCATATCATATAACAGAAACCAAATAAATAAAATCAGTCTGACTAATAATGAACATAACAGATACAATTACAGTAAAACCAAAGGCAAAACAATATTCACACATACACACACAATAACACAATAACACAATAACATTTTAAAAGGCTTTCAGCTAGTGTTAAAAAGGACATAACAGGGGTGCTCAATGACTTCTCTGGAAAGTATTTTTCCAAAACATAAGATCTGAGTTGCAATGTTACCAAGCTTGAGAAGCCATTTGAACATCTGCTTAAGTATTGATGTCACAATGTAGCATACTAATAAATAT